TACCCTTCTTGAAAATCATGATGTTGTGACGATTCGTTTATTACTTTTTTATGTGTAAATGAAGAATCATTCCTAAAATGGTTGTTTCCATGGCAACCAAAGCGATTAGTACCTATGCATGAAGATTTCGTAACAGATTGTCCATAACGTTGTGTTATACTTGAAAAATCATTCCCAAAATCAACTGGTCCTTGTCTCGTTGGCAGTATCACTCATAACTGAAAAAATTCAACCCCATTTGTAATAACGATCAACCTTTCTGTAATACAACTCAACCCTATTGCAATAAAGATCACCCCATTTGTATTACCAACCGAACTTCATTTGTAATAACGGCAAACCCATTAGCAATAACAATCAACCCATATCTGTAATATCAACCCAACCCTATTTGTAATAATGATCAACACCATTTGTAATAACGATGAACCCTATTTGTAATACCAACCCAACCCAACCCTATTTGTAATACCAACCCAACCCAACCCTATTTGTAATACCAACCCAACCCAACCCTATTTGTAATACCAACCCAACCCAACCCTATTTGTAATACCAACCCAACCCAACCCTATTTGTAATACCAACCCAACCCAACCCTATTTGTAATACCAACCCAACCCAACCCTATTTGTAATATACTAAGTAAATCAATCTTATTTATAATACCATCTCGAGTTGTAATAATGAACAACCCTGGTTATAATAACTCTTTTTGTAATACCAAACCTATTAACAAAATATTACGCGTATCTAATTTCCATTTGACTAACCCGAGGTTCTGGATAACACACTACGCTTCATTATTAGTACAATTAATTTACTTTAATTTGGACCCAGTTGTCGTACATTCATTTCGCGATTCAAATCTCATACTGGCTTACATGGTATATATTACGAATTTGTTTTCTGTGCAATGCACATATGGAAGGCAGCAGGACTCATACTACCTTCCATGATACACATAACTCAACAAGGAAATTATTTATGGCAAGAAAAAAAAACGTGTCGTTTAAATAAATGTTTTAGTCAAGGTGTACGGTAAGAAATTGTCAGCAATCGCAGGTATCCCTCGAGATTATGCATGCGTTCGACTCGGAAACGCATCCGCTACAGGTGGGTGGCAGTTCATAATCTCTTGCCTGTAAACACGAGAAAACGTGAAAGATTGGTAGACCTTAAAAATACAAATAGGGTTCACCGTTATTACAAATTAGAGGTTATAAACAACAAGTGCTTGGTAGCAGATATAAACCTATATTGGGTCAATTAGCATATTTGGCGGGAGATAATAACCCATCGTGAATATATCAAATTTGAGTTTAAGTTCATGTTTATTCATATTGCGTTAAAATATAATTACAACTGTTTTCGGTGTGTGACGAGTGGCTATCTGTAGAGTGACCGTATTCCTTCCGAGCCATGAGGCGAGAAGGAATAAAGCGTCACATGAGCAAGGAATACCAAGGCATTATTTTTTTTATCATGATTTTTTGATATAACGCCCTGAATTTCGAAAGGTCTTGTGTGTAAACATCGCGAAAGGGGTTATGGGATCGCCATGATTGAATGCTGGTATACGTGGTTGGCGGTTTATCAACTGGCAACGCTAAACTTCATGTTGCTTGATGATTAATGACGAGATTTTATAAAGAATTTATACATAGTTGTCCTTTAATACGAGACGAACAGTTAATGAACGGAACAGTTTCTTGATGTTTTTATCGGCATCTGGTGGTCACGTGCTGATTTCCATAGAATAAATAAACTATAGATGGTTGAGTTTGCATAGGTTTTATTGCATCATAATTATACATTTTGTCACGTGACACAACGCCGTCAATTAGCCCAGTAATTTATAGTTGAGGGTTGGCAACTTGGTCCCGTAGCGGCGCAGTCACGGTGCTAGTGTGCACTGTAAGCAGTGTCAATATCCCATAATATTCTCCCAGCATGACGATATAAATCTCCCTCCCAAGCACAGTAAAATAAAAGCAATTTTGAATATTGAACTCCTGGCACATGTTTCTTTCACCTGCTTAGCTACCTTATAGTGGGGATTTGCATTGATATCAAAGCGATGGTACATGTAAATAAACAACCAACCAACTAACACACTTTGAAGTGCTAAGATACGACACGGATACTACCTTTTTTTGTAACCGTGGGTTACATGTGACCGTGAATTGACGATAACAAACTAAAATACAATTCTATTGACCATAACAGTTTCTGTATGCATATGTAGTAATTGATATT